ACAACCATAAGGCCGAGGCCTCTACGTCCTGGAAGATTGGATTGGATTGGATTGGACCCTACTAATCCCTTTTCAGTACTCTCTGTTCTAGTGGTAATTCAAACCTAAAGAAAACACAGATACCTTTCAAGGACCCGGGACATTTGGGCAACAGCCTCGAACCCGTGAATCACTTCAAGACTTCAAGACTTCAAGACTGACTGCATTGAGGGTGGGATTTTAAGTTGCTACGCTACCGTTGACTTCTGGGTTTTATGGCGAGATGCCGGTTTTGTATCGTCCACCTGATATTCCCAAAGTGGTGTAGGTTTCTCCTTTAATATGTTTCTAGCACTATAGGCGTAATATAAAATTTCAGCTCTGCGACGAAAGTGATTTGAAACGACTTAGCCATGTACAAGTTCTTAAGTGTCTGTTGTACGGTGAAGGACAGAGCAACAGAAAAGCCTTGGAGTATGGACTTCTGGATCCAAGACTCGGTGCCAACAAACGTGATGAAAACTGTCCAACTTGTGGACTTGATTATCAGACGTGTATTGGTCACTGGGGCTATTTCGACCTACCGGTCCCAATTTTCCATGTTGGCTACTCGTGGCATATTGTAAAAATTCTGCAGTCGATTTGCAAGGTAATTTAATGTGTTATCGTGCATTGCTCAGAACTGCTCTCGTGTTTTGCTTCCTGAGAATCTTCGGGAACGTTATCTGTCAAGCTGTTCCAATCCCAATTTGGAGTATATCCAGAAAAAGCAATTGCGTAAAGCGGTACACAAGCTAGCCAGCAAAGTGCACATATGCCCTCATTGTAATTCTTTGAATGGTACTCAGTTAGTTTTCAAATGATGGATTCTTTTAGGATTCGTCACCAAGGGTTCGAGCGTTTCATATGTCATTCATGACATGTTCAGGTTTGCAAAACCAAAGGTGGAGGATTATGCAAACGAATATGCCGCAATCATCTCTGAAAATCCCGATTTGGCTCCTATTATACGCAAGGGCCTGGTAAGCTCTCTTCCTTGTCGGTAGCTGTAACTGCATCTTTCATGTCGGTGTCCACTGATGCAACCCTTTAACTCCTTTGGATGTCCTGTCTATCTTTTCAGGGTGTCAAATTGTTTTTATTCTTTAAACAGAGATAATTCTTACCAATCCTATTGCATTTGACGCAGGAACTTATACGCCCATCAAAGGCATTGCAGCTCTTCTCAAATATTCCCGAGGGTGACTTACCCCTATTGTTGATGCCTTCCGGTGGGGCTTGGGCAACGCATCCGCGTGATTTAATAGTACAGCGGGTCCCGGTTGCACCCAGTACCATTCGTCCATCCGTTGTATCAGAAGTTAGAAGCGGAACGTAAGTAAACATCCGTTTCAATTCAAAATGTAATACTGGCGCTAATTTCTTATTGCTGGTTCATCTTCGAAATTCAAAGCCATGGGATATCAATTTCCAGCGGGAGAATTCTCTATGTTCTTGAGCATCGTCGCTAATCGTCTTTAACCGACTTTGGCGGGTTGACTGATATATTCAGGGTGGCCGTTCTCTTGTCCTCTACCTGTAGACGCGCTCGGTAGAGTTCGGCTGAGCAACACATAGTGATTCCCTTGGCTGCAGGCCGAGATCTTTTCGATACTCATTTCTGATAATCCCGAACAAAGGTAAAACAGTTGTACAGTTGTAAGAAAAATTCGTCTTTGGGATGGGTCAATCTAATGTAAAATGTATTCCCTGAAATTCCTCACTTCCATGGTTTTTATGTAGGTTTTTCAAGTGAAATCATACCAAAAGTAACCAATTTTCGGGCTCTATTTTGTGGTAAGCAGTTTCACTGTCGCTCGGTTCAATACCGTGCATATACCGTATTATTCCTTTTTATTGGGGTTCTTCGCTATGAGTTTAATAGTTAGCCGCTGTTTTGCAAAGTCTGGGAGTAGGTCATCGTGACTATTGGTTTCAGTCACTTAACTATTTGCAGTGCTTGGCAATAATAACTGATAAATAATTTAGGTCACCTATTAATTTAATTCAGTTGTTTTAATCTCATAGAACGTTCATCCCCAGCTTCGTGAAGATGCATCCATCTAAGATATTCTTTTTTTATTTATTGTCATTCTTTTTTCAGGAACGAGGACGATTTAACCCAAATGTACCAGTGGATCTTGGCTCAAGCAGCTACAATTGAGGATGATATTACGGAATCAGACCAAGTAGCTTGTCTCGACAATCTGCATGCCGAATTCGCTCGCATGATCAATTCGCAACAGTCAGGTCTCCCTCCAGTACAAGATCACAAATTTATGCGCGGTTTGCTCCAAAGACTGTCCGGTAAGCATGGTCGCTTCCGAGGAAATCTGTTGGGCAAACGTACAAACTTCACTGCACGAACTGTAATATCTCCAGACCCCAATATGCGCATAGATGAAGTAAGTCTTTATTTGTATCAATCAAGGCGATTTGAGAGTACTGATCAACGTTTTTAATAGACCTCCTGTGCAGCAGCACCATGCTAGTCAGGCTTTTGGAGCAAGGTAAACGTTCGATAATTCGATTGGTCTACGTAGTAGGACGTTACCAAGCTTGCAGGTGGTATTTTATGAAGACTGGCAGTCATCGAGCGTTGAAATAGCGCCCATTAATATAATAATTGGATATTTAGTCTTCACGTTATTTTTGGCATTCTTCTGTCGCACGTTTCCGGTCTGACCTTCTCGAAGAACCAGGTATCGTGTCCGTGTGCTATCTCTGGGTTAATGGCGGCTTAGAAGAATTACATTTTCGTCCGGGAGATTTATTTCTCCTCGTGTCCAAATGTAAGCGAAACTATGTTTTCAGTCGATTCATTCGCAAACCTGTAAAATTATATGGATATGAAACAAAATTCTGTGGGTTGAAACGAAAAGGGAGATGAGCAATATTTGTGTCAATGAGTCAAAAACTACTCTAAATTGATGCTCGGATCGCGTTATCATACTTTGCATCCTCGTCATGCACCCGAACTGTTTATCGTCCATTGATCACGGGCGTGTTACTGGTTGAATGCACTTTCATTGTGCACACAGCTCAGACGTCACGAGGTGAATGCCAATCACCTCTGCGGTTGCTAACGTTTAAAACCTTATTGCTATCAAGGATTCTGACGAGACTCAACGAATGATTGTGGGAACCAAATTTCCCATCTGTACCAAATGAGCACCAGTCAAGCCTGGCACAGCCCCATTCACACCAAGCATGAGTCAATGCAGATTGTGTTTAGTGCACTGATATCACTGCCTCGATCTACGTAAGTCCAACCACAAGTGCACTTTAATTAACGGATGAGGTCAACAGAAGCAGCTTATCTTTCTTAGGCTTGTTATTATTATTTAGTTTTATTTTGATCGACTCACTCCTGTGGGGTGATAAGTCGCCTTCCTGGATGTCTCTAATGATAGTGGCCCATGCATGACGATCGGTAGCAAGCTTGACGCAGTGAGAAACCCAGTTCTGGTTACAGTTGCTAATTCCATATACGGAGTGAAGACCCAGTAATTCCAAATCCGCTTTGATCGCACTACTCCAGGTCTTCAGTTGACCTACTTCAGAGACTATCGGATGAAAAGCCGGAAATGGAAGTTTTATTCTAGTTCGATTGTAAACTTAATTGACGAATGTACTGCATTCAATTCTGATACAGTGATCGAGACCGGTGCTTTCGTCGGTCACACAAGGTAGTTTTCTCGGCCTACCAAAGGACGCAATCCAAGCTGGCTCACACATGGGGGTCGAGCTGTTTCCAACTTGATCGTTGCTGACATGATAGAGACGGGACACTTGGTTGACATGCGCTCGGCATTCACAAACATTTATTGAGTCTCACCACGCTCCTCAAGAAGAATGCGGTTTTGGACGTTAGCGACTGCAGAGGCGATGATCATGCGACTAATGAAGCCTGAACGGTGCATACAACAAAAATTGTTTCAAACTGTCTAACTCCCAATGGCCAAGGGAAGAGAAAATCGCCTTTTCACATGATCATGACGTAACAGAGAATTTGGGTTACGTAAACCAGACACATCAATTTGAGTTCTCTTAGGCTCATTACCACACATTAGATTCATCCACGTTTCTCTTTGACCCTACGAAAATTGTTTCGTTTAAATGTGGTTGTAAAGGCTTGAAAAGGAATTCATGGAAAACATGTTTGCCTACACTACTTTCTGCATTACTGGGCATATTTCGTGATTTGAAAAAATACGAAGAAATGCAGTTATGGCTAGAGTGGGTTTATCGAGGTATCCACAACCACACCATGATCTCGAAATGGTCAATTTTCGCTACTGTACTAGATGTTGGGGCTACACAAAGTGGTTGCCCCCTTAAGACTATCTCTGTTAAGGATCAAATCACCTCGGTGCAAGTTAACTAAATGGTTAATCAGTGACAGCCCGATACAGCTAGACTCGTCCACAGATTACGCAGATCCAGGGAGCCCAATGACCGACTCCTAGTTAGGGTTTTCATACACTCAAGTCACCTCTTAGTTTGACTACTACATTTTTCACTCACTCCTAGAACCGTCCATTTTTGTCACGAAATCACCGATGCGGACGCACTTCTTTTTTTGCTCTTATCTCTTGTGCGATACTATCTTTCGTCTTGCTCTGCTTGGTGAACTTCAATTCTGGTCATCAGTGTGCATTATTTATTTACATGTTATACTGTCGACCGTTACTTTTCAAAGGTGATTGTTCCTGAGCACTGCGCCAAACTTTTGACCTATCCGGAACGCGTGACTGAATTCAACTTGGAATTTATGCGCAACTTGGTTCTAAACGGTCCCAATAAGCATCCCGGGGCATTGTTTGTGAGCTATACTCTACGTGGCGAAGCTAAAAGACAAGCAGAAGCCCAGGGCACCTCAGACGTGGTCAAAAGGTTCTTAGCATCACCAAAGGCTCGTGAAGACGTGGCGCGTCATCTTCAATCCGGTGACTTGGTCGAGCGGCATCTCATTGATGGAGATATAATCTTGTTCAATCGACAGCCGTCATTGCATCGTGTTTCAATGCAGGCTTTTAAAGTAAGCGCCTTAACTTAAATGCAAGTGTTTTGATAAACATTTCTGATGTTACTTTTAAATGTAGCCTTTGGCATCAGAGCTTCGATATTCAAAGTTGGTTTGCCAGTTAGACCAAATTCAGTGTTCAACTTGTGTAATAGGCTTGAAAGTATATTCCATTGTATGGTCTCTGTTTTGAATTTAAGTTGTTTGATGTGTGCTTGCGTGTGTTATACGATACGCTTTAGATGGCATTATTTTGCAATGCTGAAGGTGCTTGTTTCTTCCTGTTTCCATTCCATGGGTCTTACATCAAATTGGCTTTGCTTTTTCCAATCATAGGCTGTAGTCAAACCATTCCGCACATTTCGTTTCAACCCATGTTGCTGCAACCCGTTCAATGCGGATTTTGATGGAGATGAAATGAACGTACACCTGCCACAGACAGAAGCTGCTCGGGCAGAAGCGAAACATTTGATGCTGGTAAGTTCTTAAGGAACAACCTGGTTCCAATATAATCAGATTTTTACTTTTGGCTATCCCGACACACGCTTCCTTTGTCGTTCTTTTGTGCAGCATCAGACTGATTGTGATACTATCATTAAGACCACAACTATCACGTTTTTATGCGTGCCATTGATGACCTTCACGAAACAATCGTATCTTCTCCGCCCAGAACTAGTTTGTTTTCCAGCTCTCTCATGGTTGTCTACCCCTGATCATTCAAGAGGCAAATCGCTTTCCTCATGTACCCGCTCTATTTGCACTTTCAATTTTAATTAATTCTAAGGAATTGGAATAAACCATAATCCGTGCCTGTTTCTTTTTTGATTATTTGCCACGAGATCAGTTCTTTTGAGCGACTTCGTTTGTGGCCAAGAGATGAGATCAGTTTTGGTTAATACAAATAAGTAATTTCCATTGGTCAGTAGCCAAAACCGGCGCACAGAATTGCTTGATCACTGGTTGTAAAAACTGAAACTGAAAATTGGTCAGTGGGTCATCATTTGAGTCATGGGGCGACAGTTAGTTGACACATTTTCCCTTAACCATAGACTTATGCTTGCAAACACATCAGCTTTAATGAGTCAAAGTTGTTTGTTCGGATGAGAGTATTACTTTGTCAGCGTATATCCCCGATTGGTCGTGGTTAGAAAACGGTGAGTTCTTGTTGGGACAGGATGAATCAATAGGCGGTCTGGTCAAGAATTTTTCTTTTGCGAAATCCGTTTATTTCTTTGTGTATTACGCGTCCTCTTGGTCTTGCTCATATCATTTCCAAATAATTCATTTTAGTCTCTCAAAAACATAGTCAGCCCGAAAAATGGTGAACCGCTGATTGCACCCATCCAGGATCTGATCACTGCAACTCATCTATTGACACTGAAGGACGTATTTTTCACCCGTGATCAGGCATGTCAGTTGGCCTCGCAGATTGTTGCGGGCAACCACTTAACAAAACCACTGTGCCTTCCTCGACCGGCTATTCAGTGGGTAAGTACGTTTGAACACACATCTGTGTTTACAATGAACAATACAGCAAGAGAGACTGAAGTATTCACCCGATTATTTTTATTGGAAATTACTTATTTTGTAGTGATATATCCCATATAACTAGACTAATACTGCCGGCCCAACAGTGAAATTATTTAGAAACGAAGGACTAAATCCAGGATTTGTCTGTATATAAATTGCTATCGAGACTCCTAAGCCAAAGTGGGTGATTTTCTTAGTGGTTCATGGTCAGTGCTCTCGACTAGCATAAGCCTGACTCGTGAAACAGCCGGCCTGTCTGCGAAAACTACAATCCATTGAGGGTAGACTTCGAGCCGGTCAAGTCCTACGGCTACATCGTTCATATCTCGAATGTTACATCCATTAAAGGCCCCAAGCAATCCGGTATCTTCCGCTGCAAGGGTCTGCTAAAGCTACTTCGCACGCCTCTCAAGGGGAGGCGTAAAATTATTATTTTTTGTTCCTAGCTCTCTGAAACGAGTTTTCTGTTCGTGGCTGTGACCCAGAATAGTGCGTTTAACCTACCCCGGTTTGCATTTCCTGTTATCGAGACTATGGGTCGATACGACACCTGTCCCACGCGGTTTCGTGTTTGGCCACTCCGTATCTCGTGAGTTATGTTGCCGGTTAGCACAAAAGTGGTCGTGGAGCAGTTGAATAGCGAAAGTAAAACGAAGTCAAGGTTGCGAACAACAGCAGACAATACGAAAGTTAAATGGGGTTGAGATGGACCGGTCCGTCATATTGTCATTGTGTCGGAACATCCCTAATCAATGTGACGAAGTGAGTAGTACGCTTGTATCCTACAGGGGAGGTTCCTGGTTGTCTTCGTTTGGGTTAATTGATTTGCACCTCTGATGATGTTCAACGTACGGTATTGCTTTCTGAAATCCTCGTCATACAGAATGTTACTGACCGCAATTTGCCGCTCGCTGTGCTACTTACCATTCATCAATCGAACGAGTGGTTTATTTCTGAATTGTGCCTAATTGCTCTCATCACTTTTTGGTTATAATCTGGTTTACAGGTTCTAGACGACTAACACAACACTTTTTGGTGGCTTCGTTTACCGCACCATTTCCGGAATATTGTCAGGTTCCGCAAAGGAATCACGATGAATCAAATGTTGCCAGCAGACAGATAAGTCTGGAAACTAGTGGTTTTGGGATTAGAACACGCAGCCTGTGGGTCAATGTAATGTTACCGTTGGATTGCATTACTTAGTAAAACGGCATACCTCGTCTGAATTACTGGATAACTCGCGCAATTCAGTTTACGAAATTCATGTTGATCTCGATTGTGGTAGTCCAATGTGGATCATTTTGGTACGATGATAGTTTTTCGTAAACCAGTGAGACTAAACCACGTGAATCGCATTCATTTTGGCGTAGTATTCATGGCGCTTCCATTTAGAAGGATTTCCAGCTTGTCATGTTATCAGAGCCGTTTAAATATGAAGGGTTTATGGGAAGGATGCTTTAAAGGAGATCAAAGCCGTAAAAACGAGGAGCTAGTGATTGTAAGCACGGCTAATGTGAATCCCCGGACTTTCAGTGATAAAGCATTTGAGGATGTTTCAAGGTTCGCTTGCTACCGAGTTGGGCGAAATAAAGGCCGCCTGTAATCAAAATGAGGTTCTTGTGAAACTCCCCTAATATACTGCCGTGATAAATGATTCACAAAAATCTGTTATGCAGTTTCAGTTGCAAGGTACCGAAACATTCTTATCTTACATACCCACAGAAGTTCAGGCTAACATTTAATCTTTTTATTAAGAACTACCAAAGAATATCATTTATCATTGTTACGGGTCAGTTCACGATTTGCACACGCTTCCAATCATTATTACGATACGAACACCAAGCATCTACTCATATTTTTCCACTTCTGCTTATCCAAAGCCAACAAAACTGTGGACAGGAAAGCAAATATTCAATCTGATTCTATCTCCACATCCGTCTACCGGAATACTGGTCAATTTGCGTGTACCCACAAAGTCAATCTATTCTTCTCGTGGTGAGGAAATGTGCCCCAACGATGGATGTAAGTTCTTCCATTTTTCTCCATGGTCTGTTTGTCTGTTATCTCCTGTTTTCCACAGGTTGTTAGTGAATTAATCGTTTTACTACGCATTGTTTCTTTTCTGTTTACTTCCACTGAGTTTTAGAATATTGAGCCCGACTTTCCCCACGTTTAATGTTATTTGTTTTTGGTTATCTAAAAGTCGTGACGATAACCAATTTGCCTTTTTAGTTTACAACAGCTCTGTAGATTGTGGTAGACTCGCATTGTTCATTCACTGTTTCGCGCGTTTAGCCGCATCGTCCTACATAGAAGACTAGAATGTTTTAAGTCAACAACTTTTCACCTTTGGTTGTACGAAATAGTTTATTGCATGTTTACCCGCCTTTCAGTTCATAGGGTAGATAATTTTTCCATCAGATGCTCGTCACTTTCAAAACCTGCTCCTGCTTTATTTGGTACAAAATACATTTTGAAAACGGCATCGACCACATCTTCATTCTTCGCCAAACTCTGGAGCACCGACATTCCTTTCGTAGATCCACCATCTCTGTCTTCCTCGATCTGAAGCGGCTTTCGAATCAGTCGACCGCTCTAAACTCTGGCTCTACCTTTCCCTGAAGGGATTGCCCGAGAAGTTTATTTCAATATCACAATCCTTTTATACTAAAAGCCCAAGTCAAGTCCGAGCTTACGGCACTTTTCGCCCGAGTTCACCACGGAAAGTGGTGTTCGACAGGGTTGCCCTCTCTCCTTTTATATTTAACTTTGTTGTAGATCTAATTATGGAAACAGCCCTATCCCCGTACGAGGATAGCGGTATCGATTTACTCCAGGTGGCAGACTGTCTGATCTCGAGTATGCAGACGACATTGTGCTACTAAGTGATGATTCAGGTAAGTTGCATGCTTTTCTGGGTAGTTTGAGTACTAGTGTAACCATGTTCGGTATGCGTTTGGCACCTTCAAAGTGTAAAACGTTACTTCAAGACTGGGTTGGCCCAGACCCTAGCTTCACCCTAACCGGGGAATTTGTAGAGAAAGCATATATGTTTTGCTACCTGGGCAGTTATATCTCACCTGGCAGACGCATCACGGCGCGCATACAAAAGGCTCGATTTGCATATGCCAACTGGAGACATTTGTGGTGCCGTCGCGACATCCGGTTGTCTGTGAGGTGTTGAATATATGCTGCAGCAGTTCGGCTAGTTCTGCTTTACGGTGCAGAGAGTTGGCCATTACGGAAAGAGGATAAATATGGATTGACGGTGTTCGAACACCGCTGTCCACGAGTCCAGTGGGGAAACCGGGCTAGCAATGCTGAGGTTAGGCGTATAGTTTTAGGTAATCGCGGTCGTCCGCTGGAACAGGAATTCTACCTCCATAGATTACGCTGGTTGGGACATGTGTTGCGCATGTCACCAGATAGGTTGCCACGACGAGCGATGCTTGGCGAGGCAGATAACGGTTGGAAAAAAATGAAGGGCGGTCAAGCAAAGACCTGGCATGAGGATATAAAAACCTCTGACCAGAAGACTGGCTCACATAGGTCCCGTTAGGCTCCCTGGCTGAAGACCCAGAGATCATGGTCACCGATGGTTAGAGACACTGAGCGATATGGCTGGGTGTCGCCAACAGTGGCACTCATGCATCTACCCATTATTCTTGTAACTGCAATCTATGAAAATGAGCTACCTTTCGCTTAAATCTGCTCTCAACATTCTAATCACTATTCTGCTATTTTATCCAACCATGACCTGCAAACGGATGTGCATGGTTATTGATTGTAAGAACTGAACTGAACCGAGTTCTTTTTGAATCAAGGTATTTGTCCAACTCCCATAGGTGAACTGACAGTGGTGCACCAACCCGAGTGCTGGCTTCTCAATTCGTCCTCTGATTTTGATGGAGAAACAACTCCAGGTGAAGGCAGTGAATACAGCTTCCTCAACAGAGGCTATTTTGTAGGCAGTGGTTTTTCTCTAAACAAACGGACATTGGAGGCGACAGGGTTTGTACGGGATCCGAAGTAGCAAGTGCATCCAGGTGTTGCTCTTGTCGTCGCGCTGCGTTGGTCATGGGTTGTTACTACGCACTGAGCACTTCGGTGGTTTACTATATATATACATTTAGATGAATGAAAATAAACAATTTTGCCGGTCGTGAGGATATCTGAAGGCTTCGATGAAAACAATATAAGGGCTCAACGGAATGATATGTGCGAATTATTATCAAGAGAGTGATATCATAATATAGAGCTCACAGAAATGGATCGATTGAATGTAAACTCAGTGATACGCGATGCGTTTTTGGCTGATAAATTCCACTGAAACTGGGAGCTCACGATGGACGCAACCACTCTGCACGCGTTTCATTCATCCAAAACCTGAGACACTCAACCATGCTCAGGCTTTAGGAGCCAATGATTACAGAACTATGCGATTAGATTAATGGAGAGGAAAGCCTGCCTGAGCTCCTTACACAGTAGTCTACTGTTCTAAAAACTCCATCCGGTAGATGCCTGTCTTCAGAACCCCCTCAATCAGGATCAATAGTGATGACAACAGTTAATGCGCCAAGTGGACTGTTTCGGTGCGTTGATATCCGATGTAGTTTCCGGGTTGCATGGTGTGTTTGTTTGAAACAACGAAAGATCCTTACACTGATAACTTAACGAAACGTCTTCGGGGAAAGGCATTTCTAGTAAATCATTCGAGTATAAGCTTCGACTTTTCCTCGTGCGAAAACCAGGATAGAACATGATATGTTCCTTGATTCAAGTCGAGAAAGGTATCATGAAGTAATACACTGAAAATTCTTCCACACATCCCCACACCTCTATCTTCTGTCTCCGATTAATGACCTCATGCTGAGCATTCTTCCACCTGATATGTCAGAGCATGACTAGGAATATCCGAGAACAATTGTTCACACACTGGCTCGTTTTCTGAAGGATGAATTTCTCATGGATTCCAAAGGATATCGACCAGACCATAATCAATTCAAATATCTGCTGATTTTCGCTTCAACAAAAGATGAACGTTATCCACGGGATACCAGCAGTACTGTTCCCATCGTATCCCTAAATTCTTCATCGCAGCATAACCACGGATCGACGCACATCATATAGTGTGAACGAACCATTCATAATGTGTTACGGAACATCTCGGGATGCATACATTTGCTCCATTAAAACCAATTACAGCCGTAACATGAATCTGAGATGGATGTTGCCACTGCATTAAAACATCCAGAAATTCTAGTATTCGATACCTCTGTATCGCTCAATCCCTCTGGAACAAAGCCGTTCAGTTTCCACAACCATTAACCCTGCCTTGCAGTGCTCTTTAAAAGGATACTCATATAATTCAGGTTATCAGTATAATCCGGTGTCCGGAGACCAAAACATATTTGAGCGGATTGTGAATGAGCATGAAGCAGTTCAATTTCTATTCCATCCCACTACATCTATCGACAACGCAACAGTCACCATGATTCAGCTTAGAAGTATTGCACCAATAACCTACTATTAAAACAAAATTCACCGACCTGAAAAAGAACAACCACAGGCAGAGTTCGGAGTCAATGCAGTATAAACGCTACGCTTCCGAGTTAGTCATGGCATAATGTTACAGAAAAATGAGATTTTGCCCCACAGCTTTTCCTCGCCTCGAGGGTGTGTTGAGATATACAAAACACTAATGCAAAGCAATCCTACAGGATCTCCACAGAGAAAGAAGATGGAATCTCTGCTACAAAATATCTAGACGTTTGCACAACGGCAAGAGTTCCGAAGTATGCATCTACAGGGTAACTTGAAGGATGGACAGAGGTGTATGTACATCATGGCCATAGGTACACTTGAACCGCTTTTCTATCAGTACTACCCACTGATACTTGCGGAGTCGCACTCCAAGTGACCGACTATATTTCTGGAAAACCTGTCCAAAAGTCCTTCCTGATCCGAGCTCCCGGGAACTGTTTCAATCAGGAAGGTATACTGAAGTTGCTTGTGACAGACAGCGAGTCCGTGCAAAAGAACCGGAAGCTTTAATTGAAAGCACTCGATATCAACCTCAAAGGAAGGCACCAAAAGATTCAAGTTCTAATGGTGCCGCTGAAAATTTAGTGAGAACAGTTAAGAGAACATTGTCAAAGCTGAAACCACTACCGCACCTGTTGGTATGCAATTACCCCGAACGATGGTTCGAACTACAGCTCTCGATTGGAATCACTTTAATCTTCGGCTGAAATCTGACTATTCGACATGCCTGTTAAAAGACAAGTGATCAACTGGATCACTTGTCTTTTAAAGAATGCGTTTTACAGTCGTCGCCACTTCTTTGGACAATTCCTCTTGACTGTTTACGCTACTAAGTTGATCACCTATGGTGATCCGACGACAGCGACCGGGGAGGGGGAACCATAGAATTTCAGAACGACTGATAAGAAGCCAGTGTTTTGCACCAAATAAAATCCACCTGGTGAACTGTGATTTTTTCAGACATAGTTATATGGGCTTATTCACCTTGATTTCTCCCAATAAACTTATCTTTACTTCAATGGCCTGGTTTGTACTTCTTAGTATCGGGAAACTTTGGTAGCTGAATATCACCGTGATTTCGATTACATTTAAGTGTTGATCTGACTATTAAATCCCCTTCAACATCTGTTGTAGCGGTGGTCTGCTCTACAATATAGCACCACCACCTTTATTGCTTTCCTTTTGTTATTTTGATCTAAGCACTGTTTAACCATTAAAAAGTTAAACAAATAAGAATATTCTTTCAAGTTTCTATTACCTATCAACTTCTTTTCGCACGAAGTTAAAAAACAAGGCAAAAATGCGGTTTAAAAATAGGAACCAGTAGAGTAAAACAATAAAAGCAGAGCAAATTGGTAGTAGTAGAAATAAATAAAAACTGTAGACATATAGAGTGGAAAAGAACAAGATATGGAATGTGGGCAGGCATCAGCACCGAGAAACGATTGTGGAAGCACTAAAGCGTGGCATGATCAGGCATATCTTCCCTCTCCCACCTCCAGGTGACTATCATTCACTCCCAATTCAACGGGATACAGTCTAAT